CTCTTGGTGACCAAAATAGTAACTGAGATTTGTCATTTTGAATAACGAATAGGCTAGATGATCACACACACACACACACACAAATAAAATAAATAATGTAAAAAATAGGCTGCAACTTTGCATGACAGTGTCTAAGATTAATTTTCAGATGCATTAACATTTTTCATCACTGACCATATTATAGCTATTGCCTTAATTAAACTTTTTTACTAGATGTGAATGATTTTGCGAGGGATGAAATGGTGACACGTGTGACTGAGAGAGATTTCATCATTCTTCACAATGATATTACTGAAAAACACCGAGTCGATCATGTGCTGTGGATGTTTGGGTCTCCAAATATTCACACCCCTGAAGTCTATGAAAGGATCATCTCTACCTCAGACAGTTATGAGGGGTTTAAGGACAAGGAGAGCAGATCACACATTATCTGGAGCTTCAGCGACACATACGCGGCCACTCAAACTCAACGACAGTTCATTTCCAGATCCTGTGAGTAGAATATGCAAACCTTTTGAAATTCTGACTTAGGCTAATAATGCTAACAGGATGAGAAGAATTTTCAAATTACAATGAGTATAAAGTTTAAACTGGATTCTGTGTTTTACAGATGTAAGAGTTGAAAAGAATGGTTTAGTGATGGAGGGAGAATGCGTGATATTTTTCCCCAATGCTACTGAAATACAAAGCGATGATCTGATACAGTGGAGGTCTGCAGATGGAGATCATCTATGTAAAGCTAACAACAATGAAAAGAAAATGATTGAATGTGATGAGAGGTTCAGAGACAGATTTCAGCTTGATTGTCAGACAGGATCTCTCACCATCAGGAAAATCAGCACAAAAGACCCTGGACGTTATGAATTTACCATCATCAGAAATGGACATTTAGAAACATTCAAGCGTTTTAGTGTTAAAGTCTATGGTATGCAGTTTCCTTCTTCAACACTTTCATGCTGGTTATAAATTAATTTGTCTTAAAATGGAGAGCTCATTAAAAAATGAACATTATGTCTGTACTGTACTGTACTGTTTGTAGTAATTTTTTATTCATTTGTTTTCCAGCTCCTCTTCCCATTCCTGTCATCACCAGTAACTCTTCAAACTGTTCTTCTTCTTCATCATCATCTGGACATTCATCGGTGTCCAATTGTTCACTGCTGTGTTCAGCTGTGAATGTGAGTGATGTGACTCTCTCCTGGTACAAAGGAAACAGTTTATTGTCCAGCATCAGTGAGTCTGATCTCAGCATCAGTCTCTCTCTACCTCTGGAGGTAGAATATCAGGATAAAAACAGCTACAGCTGTGTGCTCAACAATCCCATCAGCAACCAGACCAAACATCTGGACATCAGTCAACTCTGTCAGCCATGTCCAGGTACGACAGCTGTGATTTTAGTTTTTAGTGATGATCTGTTTAATTTTATGTGAATTGCCTTCACTTACATTGTAATGATTAGAAATAGGGCAGCATGAACACCACAGATAAAATATTTTCAGCTGCAACTTACATATATAGATGTCAACATTTTTGCATATTTCCATACTGTGTCTTCTCTGTGACTGTTAAATAAAAACACATGTGATTTACACTTTTGTTTGGTCCTGGAAGGACCCAGATTTGCTCATTTTAAATTTGTCTTTGTTCTTTACAGAACTCCCACATTCATTAGTATCTTCAATATTATTATATATAACCCCTATTTTGGTGGTTTTGGTCATAACTGCAGTTGTGGTGATTTATTGCACAATGAACTCCAGACGAGCAAGACAAGAAGGTTAGTATTGCAACAGATCTTTATGTGTAAAATAATATCAAAAGATGTTCAACATGTTTCTTCTTGCCACCATTTGAGATTCACATACATTTTTATAGTTTACGTGGTTTAATTATTATTATTTAATCTTAAACTCTTGATAGTCTCGATTTCCTGTTCACAGTGATTAGTCACATGACACTTGGTGATTGTCCTAGGCTACTAGTATTCCACATGAATCCGGATAAGTTTGAAAGCGCATCTTTTTACATTTTGGCTTTCAGTCCACAATGAGATAACGTTTTTGTCCAGTGAAAACTGAACTTTTTGAAGACTCCAAAGCAGATACATTTGAAAATGCCATTTTCATGTTTGTGGACTGTGAAAACAGAGGAATTC